CCCCCCCCTTTGTTACTGCTATGTGAGCCACATTATGTTTCCTTTTTTTTTTTTGGTGTCGTTGCGCAATAATTTAGGCCATTCAGTTTAGATAGTTCAGTTTATTTGAGAACCTTCAGTCTAGGTAGCTTAATTTAACAATCCGATTTCGGTCAATTATTTAACTATGGGCGTGGTGCGAGACGCGTGCCGACGTGGAGTGGACCCTCGTCCGGCGCCCCGGGGTGATTAAGGCGCCATTCAGTTTAGGTAATTCAATTTATTTTGAGAACCTTCAGTCTAGGTAGCCTGATTTAACAATCCGATTTCGGCCAATTATTTAACTATGGGCGTGGTGCGAGACGCGTGCCGACGTGGAGTGAACCCTCGTCTGGTGCTCCGTGGTGATCAAGACGGACGGAGGGGATTATGTACCATGGTGAGTCGGAAAGGGGCTAGGCGACTTTGTACCGCACCGCGCAGCGTGTGAGGCTCACTTGCAGGACGGCCTGGTCATTGGTCACGGAACGTTCTTTTCTAAGTTTGACATGTACAGGATTTTAAAGCATTGTGTCTGGAAAATGTCAATAAATGGGACTTGTACATATTGTAATACGAGTGTAAGGAGTGGTGAAAGGAAAGGACCGGAGAGTAAAATGTCACAGACCATATGCCATCTACACAGCCGGAGAGGAAGTCGTTGCGGGAGAGGAAGTGGTTTCGAGGTATCCAATTCGCCATAGTATTTGGTAACAGAACAGTTCTTCTTCTCGTCTGCCTGGTTCTCAAGGGACATCCGAATCCGATAGGGCCCTGGTAGTTTATCGAGCCCGTGGGGCCCCATCCCGCTCAAGGTGGGTGGAGCCGGCCGGCGCGGCCGTCAGTGATTGGCTCAGTGGTTTGGTAGTACAGCGTACGGGACGACCAGAACTATACACGTTTCGGAGACCACGGGAGTGGCCAGGCTGGCCTCAAACATCTGAACCGATTCCCCCCCCCCCCCTTTGTTGTCGTCTGGTCAGTGCTGGCCGGTTATTTCCTGCCTTAAGAAAACGCGGCGCCTGCACAGGAGCTGTTTATCCTCCTGTCCTAAGACCAACGCAGTGCCCGCACAGGAGCTGTTTATCCTCCTGTCTAACAAACGTGGCGCCCGCACAGGCGCTGCTTATCCTCCTGTCCTAAGACCAACGCAGCGCCCGCACAGGAGCTGTTCATCCTCCTGTCTAACAAACGGGGCGCCCGCACAGGCGCTGCTTATCCTCCTGTCCTAAGACCAACGCAGCGCCTGCACAGGAGCTGTTTATCCTCCTGTCTGACAAACGTGGCGCCCGCACAGGCGCTGCTTATCCTCCTGTCCTAAGACCAACGCAGCGCCCGCACAGGAGCTGTTCATCCTCCTGCCTAACAGCGCCCGCACAGGCGCTGTTTATCCTCCTGTTCTAAGACCAACACAGCGCCCGCACAGGAGCTGTTTACCCTCCTGTCTAACAAACGTGGCGCCCGCACAGGCGCTGCTTATCCTCCTGTCCTAAGACCAACGCAGCGCCCGCACAGGAGCTGTTCATCCTCCTGTCTAACAAACGTGGCGCCCGCACAGGCGTTGCTTATCCTCCTGTCCTAAGACCAACGCAGCGCCCGCACAGGAGCTGTCTATCCTCCTGCCTAACAAACGTGGCGCCCGCACAGGAGCTGCTTATTGTCGTCTGGTCAGCACTGGCCGGGTCATACGTTCCCATTTTCCAACCCAGAACGGCCTCAACTAAGGGATTTCCGCTCAGCCTGGTCCGCACTGGTCGGTGGCTCAACTTTGAAAAAAAGGGGTGACGGTGGAGGACGAGAACGAGAATGATGAGTTGTTAGTTCCAGCTAGAGTCTCAGTAAATCATCCTCACTAAAGTCAGCCCACACCTAAGATGAATAAGGAACTCAGGGGGGATAGATGATGCACGTCTCGCCCCTGTGCGTGGAAAGTCCACCGACGCGGCTACGGGTTAGGAGGGAGATGAGAAGCGAGTGAAATGGAAGAAGACTGTACACGTAGAGGAATCGGATTTACTGAATGAAGTTCAGCTCGGATAGACCCCACTTAATAGTAGGCCTCGCTTGGGTAAGCCCTGGATACGTGCAATAAGTCGCGAAGTGAAGAGAAAGGGTGAGAGCGAATTGAGGATCGATTATATTGAGGATGAGTGCATAGCCGACGAAGGCTAATCCGTTCGGTTGCCGGCGCGGGCCCCATAAAGCCGTGGCTATACGGAGACGATGCAGGCAGCCCGGAGGGACCTAGTGACCCCGCCCGGTTTTAAAAGATAGGTTAGGTCCGCTATCGGTCCATTGAGTGATCAGCGCAGGATGACATTCGATAAGCGACGTAGGTAGTTTCGGAGATGTTTAGGACCCCAGGCGTCCCAGCGAGGAGACGTATGCCGCCGGTTAAGTAATGTCCCGCGAAGAAACGTGTGATGCTGCAGGACGGGGGTGAACATTAAATACCAAAGCATGCGAGTCGGGTGATCGCGGTAAGTCGGTACTGGCCACCCCGCTGTCAGTCGATTTACTCCGGCCGTGCAGCGGTCATTTCGGTTAGGTCTGTGACGACAGCTTAACTACCAGCAACGGATAGATAGGGCTTCGGGCACCTATAACGCTGGTAGTCGTGGATTGTGTGAAGCCAACGGAGGCTAACCCGTTCGGTCGCCGGTGCTGTTTCAAAAGCCGTGGCTATACGGAGACGATGCAGGCAGCCCGGACGGACCTAGTTACCCAGCCCGGTTTCAAAGTTTAGATAAGCCCACCGCGGGCCGTGGTACGCTTAGTTTTCGTTTTCTTATAGGCAATTTGGCATAACTGGTAGTCATGGATTCGTGTAAAGCCGACGAACGACTAATCCCTTTCGGTCGCCGGGGGCTGGCCCGAAAACCGCGGCTATACGGAGACGACGCAGGCAGCCCGGACGGACCTTATAGTTACCCAGCCCCGGTCTCAAATTTCAAATAAGTCCCCCGCGGAAACCGGACTACACAATGTCCTGCGAGCCGTAGTCTCGGAACCGCTGGCCGAAGGACATTTATGTTTTTGTGTAGGTAGTTCGACATGGTGATGGGATGGACCGCAATAAGTCACGTAACGCGAGGGTCGAGTGCCGAAATCTGTGGTGGGTCGTATCACTAATTGTGTAGCGTGAGCATTATGAAGCGTTTGTCTGATGTACGGAACATTGTGGTTATGAAGGGATAACGGTTAAATGAAATTTAAGGCCAATGACTCGATAACGACTTTGTGTGCGCCCTAGCACCACCGGGGGAAGTTAGGAAAAAGAGGGAGGGATCGGAGACGGCTAACTCTGATTATTTTGAGGTATGACTGGACGTATGACAGGAGTGAGAGGGGATGGACAAGTGAAAGTGTGATTGTCGTGTATATCCGGTGGGAGATAGCCCTCAGCTAGGACGGGTGCCGTTGTTAAGAGTGGGAGAGCAGTTGAGTTGAGTTAATTTCTTAATTCAATGTGATCAGGGACAATTGGTTATCACTTATCACTCATCCCATCCCTCAACCCTAGCCTATGTGTTTCCGATGATTGATCGCCCCGGAAAGATAGAGTCAGAGTCGGAACGGGTTCGCGAGGGGCTGGTTACAGAGAAGGGCTTCTAGGAGCGCACCGACGGAGCTTTCTTGATCTCTACCAGAAGACACTGCCCGGTTCGCCCCGCAACGTCGCGAAACCCCGCTACAGTAACCTTGCGTGACGTCATTTATGACGTCACTAGGGTCGTACGAGTTTTTCGTCAATAACTCCCGATCAAATGGAGCTAGAGAGTCGGAAAAGCCACCAATGGACTCGGGGAGACCTTCCGAATCGAATGATATACCATATGATACCCTTTGCCCAGCTTCGTGACCTGAGGGGCTCTGACCTGACCTTGATCCGAGGTCAACTGCTTAAGTTGACCTCACCCAAGCAAAAAGTATACCATTCGATGCACCTGAGCTAGGCGAACACAATGATGCCAAAATCGCGGCTCTGCGGCCATTTTTTGCGAAGTTATTTACTAAAAACCGAGCCCGTAACTTCAGTCACTTGACCTGACCTCAGACGCTACTGGTTAAATTGAGACCTTAAAGTCGGGTACCAATCGCTGCGACTTGTTGCGGCACACACGCTCGTTTTTTTCCGCGAGGCTCTAGCTCTATTAGAAGCGAAACGGCGTGCTGGCCCTGGGGTCGTATCAACCCCTCCGAAACCCATTTTGTTTGCGGGAAAATGAGGATTTTATGGAAAGAACACCTTTCTAATTTTTTGCATGTCGATTTGCAATGACATGAAGTTTATTTTGAAAAAAAATAAAAATTTGAAAAATTTTGGTCCCAAAGGTCATTAGAGGCAAATGAAAAAAGATTAAGGTTTTTGCTCAACAATGAAAATTTTTCTTTGAAATTTTCAAATGGTAATATTAATTTTTGATTCATCGCAAGTTTAGTGTTGTCTACTGTTTGTTGGTAGCTTAACCCGTTCTTGAGTTATAGGCCATCAAACTCACCGTTACAAACCGAAGTTAAAAAAAATGTAATGCAATATAACTCAAAAAGTTTTGATCTGAGAAGTCTGATATTTTGCCAGGCGTCTTTGGGGCCTATGATTACCCCTAGGACGGATTTTCATTAAAATCTGAGAGATGAGGGTGACGGGCCTGGTACGATCTATCGTGGAATGCCCCACCTATAAATTACCATTTTGAATCCTTTTCCTTTAATCTGAAGCGTGCTTATTTATTTAGAGGAAGATGATAAGATAAGAAAGGAAGAGGATGAGCGATTGACAAACGTGCAGTACAAGTCCATGACAAATATACCGGTTACTATAAGTATCGACAATGCGACGTTCAGAAAAGTCAAAAATAGTCTCACAGCAAAGCTGCAGTTACTCCATGAGTCGACACTCTTCGGCGTCCACTCCCTAGCTCGTGATGTTTCCGTCGCCCAAGGGACGCAGCTGACGCCGACCCAGGCGATAAGAACTTCACAGTCATGCCTGGCCCCCGTGTCGCTAGACGTCTTCTACAGTATAAAACGGTCGGCAGAAAATCGGGTTCGTCACTTGTCCGTCTACCAGGTCATCCCAGGTAAGTTCGAGCTACTTGAAACATCATCCAACCAGTCCAGCCAGAGTTTCTGGTATGTTGTTACGACCGTCAGAGGCCTTGCTTTGCGCTGCAAGCAAAGCGGTCTGTAATCACCTCGAATTAGGATGAGTTGTTTTCAATCGTTGGATCTCAAATCGTTTTGTTCGCTCGTGTTTTGATAGACGGGCAGAAAGTTGACTTCATTTTAACGAGTAAAGAGGGTAAGCACAAGCTGCTTTGGGAAACATCTGAATAGGCTTATTGGTCGTGACATGAAAATCATGGTTTCAAATGGAAACGTTTTGGGACGTTCTTCAATTTCAATTTCAAGGTTTTCTGCCAACCTGAATCCAAGCATCCCAGTAGCTAACTAAAATACCAAATGACATGTACCTACCTACTGTTATGGGCGGCTCAGCTAGAAATCTGGCCATTTTTCCAGTCGTCCACCATGCGCGCCGCCGTGCTCGTGCTGCTCGTTGGAGCCGCCTCGTCCTTCGTGGAGCAGTCCGAGTGGAACAACTTCAAGCTGAAGCATGCCAAGTCCTACGCCAACCCCATCGAGGAGTTCTACAGGATGAAGGTAAGCATCCGACGTTAGCGGTAACGGTTAGTCTGCGAACATCTGGTATTACATACAAATGTGTGGAAATTGGATTCTTTATAACATCGCAAAATGAGCCAATATTATTCTTTATAACATCGCAAAATGAGAGCTTTCAAATCGCCACTGTCTAAAAATCTGTTGTTACAACAGCACTAAGAACCAAACATACCTGTAGGTAGCTGCTTCATTTTTAACTAGCTACGCGTATAGAATCTACACCGAGTGTCAATGCACACATAGCGGTGCCATGAAGCCCATTGTTGGTTCTCCCGAAGAGTACTCGCGTTGTTCCCTTACATACACACCGCGCTGACGAGTTGTTTCGCCTCGCAGGTGTACGCCGACAACAAGGCCTACATCGAGCAGCACATGAAGGAGCACGCCGAGGGCAAGCACACCTTCACCGTGGCGCTCAACAAGTTCGCCGACCTGACCACCGAGGAGTGGAGCCGCCAGTACAAGGGCCTCAAGATGGGCAGCACCACTCCCCACAAGACCCACCAGGTGACCGGCAAGGCTCTGCCGAGCAGCCAGGACTGGCGTCAGTACGGTGCCGTGACCCCTGTCAAGGACCAGGGCCAGTGCGGCTCGTGCTGGTCGTTCTCTGCCACCGGTGCCCTGGAGGGTGCCTGGGCCCTGGCCGGCAACACGCTGACCTCGGTGAGCGAGCAGCAGGTGGTCGACTGCTCGTGGGCCTACGGCAACCAGGGCTGCAACGGCGGCTGGATGGACCAGGCCTTCGAGTGAGTTCTTACGGCCGATTATCTATTGGAGAAGTACAACTTTGGCTGTGTAATTATTGAAGTTGTAAAAGAGAACACAATATGGCATTTTGGTCGACACATTTTTGATCAACTTGTACAATAAAAAGTGCATGCCTCGATGATGAAGTCCATTCATCATCACTATTTTTTAGAAAGGAATGTGGGCCTCATTACAGGTACATACCATCTATTGTTGGAACCATTGAATCCAAATCGTATCGCAATATTTTTACGAGTAAAACAAAGCATTCTTCTTACGCACGCCATGGCTGGTAGTCAGAGGAATCCAATGTCTTGATTCCACAATTAGTAAATCGTTACAAGTAAGTTCCCTGAAGTCAGCAGAATCCCCGTGTTTTACTCTGAATGCTGTCCCCTTCAGGTACATCAAGGATAACGGCGGCATCCAGACGGAGGCTTCCTACCCGTACACGGCCACCGATGGCACATGCAAGGCGTCGCCGCCGTACGCCTCCACCGTGGCCGGATACACGGACGTCGCCAGCAGCGACGAGGACGCGCTGGCCGACGCCGTCGCCAACGTCGGCCCCGTGGCCGTGGCCATCGACGCCTCGCACATCTCGTTCCAGTTCTACTCGGGCGGCATCTACAACGAGTCGCGCTGCTTCCACTACCTGCTCGACCACGGCGTGCTGGCGGTCGGCTACGGTGACGGCTACTGGCTCGTCAAGAACTCGTGGGGCACCGGCTGGGGCGACAGCGGCTACATCAAGATGACCCGCGACGGCAGCAACCAGTGCGGCATCGCCACCCAGGCCTCCTACCCGTCCGTCTAGACTCTGGCTAGTCGGCTTGTCACAGTCTTGGTCAATATTTGGCTGTATGTCCATTGTCCATGTCTGAACTACTGTCTGAACGTCCTTTCTTTTCTGGTCCACCGGCCTACGTGTCGGCTCACTGGTCGCTGAGCTGATTCTGGTTAACGTCTGGTCAAATAAACGCCCTACTAAGTAACATCGTGTCATCAAAAAGGATATCAGAGTCCCTAGGATCAGAGTCCCTACTGTTAACTATTAACTCGCGCCGTGCTGGTAGCCCGAGTTTTCCGTGCCGTGCTGGGGCTGGGGGGTCTAACTAGGCTCCTGGGCCACATAGCGACACGCGGTAAGCGGCAATCGAAAGAGTGTCAAAATAATGAAGAAAATACATTGGTCATTTTTTGGGTCAAGTCAAAGGTCAGGTCGCCAAAGGTCATCATCATAGATCAAATTTTGCCTATTTCAACAATTTTCGAAAACCCGGCACCTAGCTCGGGAACCAATAGAGCTACAGCGTCGCGAAAAAGCGCATTCGATAGTCCTTTTACGCTCTGTCTGGATTATGCCCTCAGATTTGACCTCAGGGCAACGGTTTGGCCTCCAGAGGTCAATTTTCTCCCATTGACTTATAACGGAGAGGTCCCAAAGTTGGCCTGACCTTAGGTCACAGCTATCGAAATCCCGAGATATACATTTTATGCATATTGTTATTCTTATCAATCGCTGAAAGCTTCAAAGCGATCGTTCAATCGGTGTAGCTAGTTATAGCAAAAATTAATCTTTTTCTGAGGTAACGTCACTTAACGTTACTTGGTGACCAGATCTTGAATGATCCGGGTCTGAAATTCGTTTTTGAGATATTCGCGAAAAACCTAATGGGGGGGGGGGGCATAAAAACACTCCCCCCAGCACGGCGCGGGTTAAGCAGTTTTATTCGCTGATAGATCCACCGGATGTTGCGACATCAGCTCAAAAACTAATTCAGTGCCAACTGCCAGGACGAATGCTAAATAGTAAATAAGTACTATTGAGCGCAGAATCCGCGCTCATACCGCGACCGAAGCGGGGCAGGCCTGGTGTATCAGAGAGTGTACCGACTAGTGTGATGCGGAACAGTATCCCATTTAGTCGGCTGCTGTCTGGTGAGCTTGGGCCAGCCGCCGCACGGAAGGCCGATAATTGCTCAAAGCCGGCGGGTGCACACAGGGAGTTGGTCACTGTTTCCGTACCGAGTGGGGAGGGAAGCCGGGGACGGTGAGCGATTCATGCGGTCGCAGCCTGCGTGGAGTTGGTGCGGCAGTGTGTATATTGGGATTATTTCTCGGGATTCAAAGCGAAGTTTTGGGTTTGTTTGAAGCTCTTTGATCACACTTTCCACTTGAACCACTTTCCCCTTCCTGCTCACAACGGTGCATCCACCGTCTGGCAGTTGTCAGAGCAACACCTCTGCCGCCTGCTTGACAGAGTGACCTCGATCAAAAAGCAAGACGAGCCTTCCCTTGTCAAAATCACTGAGGTGTGCCATCGCGCTCACGTCTAGCCGCACACACTCCACGCGGGCTGCGGCTGCATACTGAATGGCTCTCCTTCCCCGGCTTTCCTCCCCACTCGGAACAGAAACAGCCAGGTCATGTCATCGCGTGACCCTCAAAGGATAATGTTCCGCATTACACTAATCGGTACACTCTCTGACACACCAGGCCTGCCCCGCCTCGGACCCTGTATGAGCGCGGATTTTGCGCCCAATAGTACGTCATCGGCTAAAAAAATGACCTGAAAGTTATGAAACACAAAAAGTCAATGAAGGTCATCAAGGGTCAATGGCCTTGACCTGACCTTAACCTTCCAGGCGGTGGGGGGGGGGGCATTTTTTTGCCCCCCCCCCTTTAGTTTTTTCGATATATCTCGAGAACCGCTGCGCCGATCGTCACCAAACTTTCAGTACCCTCCCGGGAGTAGCTAGCGCACATGGTGACCAAAAATTTTTCCAAAGGCTATGATAGGTAGGCGGCTAATGACGTCAGAGTGACGTCATTTTTGCAATTTTCGACCCAAACAAAGGTTTCGCGGGAAGAGCTGTCAGGCCTACAGCTTTACAGATACAGAAAAATGATTCAGACATAAAAGGTGTGGAATCTAGAGGGCGACAAAACTGTTATTTCGGTTTTTCGATTTTTTTGGATTTTGACCCCCAAAAATCAAAACATAGATTTTTTGAAAATAATAGCCGAAAAATCCAAAAAGTTTTTGAATTTCGAAAAAACCGGAAAATATGTGATAGTCCCTACCGCCTTCTATCAACATACCAAATTTGAGATCAATACCTCTTTTTTTGGCCAAGTTATAGCGAAAAAACTTCAAAATTGATTACGTCAAATTTTCAAACTCAATTTTTAGCAATTCTAGACCTCGTAGCGCAAAACGAAGACCACCATTAGACTCCCCGTGACGAGCTGCATCGAATCGATACCCATTTTATGCAAAAATATCAACTTTGAAATTTGACCTTTTTTGACCTGACCTTGACCTGACCTCCACCAGAAAGTGACCTAAACCGTACCTATGGTCTTATAACCAATACCATTGAGTTGGAAACGAAAAACTGGCCATAAAACATGCATCGCACAACCTTAGTAAAGTTGGGTTCATGTGGTGACCCTTGGTGACCTTTGGTGACCTGACCTGTGACCTGACCTGGTATGACCAGTGACCTCTAATAGCAACATATGTACTAGACAACTGACGCCTTATCGCTGATTTTCGAGAAAATGCGTTTTACTCGGTGTTATAGCACTTTCCCTAGAAGCCCCGTGAACGGTGAAACATTTTATCTTTGACCTGACCTGTGACGTCATCGGTGACCCCGAGGTCAATGAAATTTGGTTTCATTCGACAAATTTGACAGGGCTATCGAACGCCGTTTGAATTTTCCGGATCCGTCCAGTAGTTTCGGAGATACGAGGGGGGGGGCAAAAATGCCCCCCCCCACCGCGCGGAAGGTGGCTGGTAGGCCCACCGCCTGCCGGGTTAATGTGACATTCACAAATCACAGCCATCTCAGTCCATGAACAAGTACTTCACATATTGACACTTTTAATGACAAAAAAGGCAAATAATTATAAAATGGGTGCTGACATTCGTCAAACCACTGTTCTGGCCTGACATGATATTGATAAAGAGGTCACAGGTCAAAGGCCATTTGAGTCAGGGCCATGACATTTCTGGGATATATTTATACTTATTAATACGGTAAGGGGGGGGGGGGCTGAAAGTTCCTTCACTATCAGTGCCTTTTTACGCGAGCTATTTACGAAAATCGAGGGCTATCACCATCATATCAATTTGTTCATTTTGTGAATATCAATCGACTGATTGATCACATGACCTTTCGGGTTGGGTCATGACCTCAACCTTGCGAAAAAATTAAAGATGCTTCCCATGAAAGCACCTTTTATATATTTTAACGCTATTCGGAGATAGAAACCGTGGAATGTTACCAAAATAAAATAAAATAAAATAAACGCACGAGCGCATCAATGAACATTTCAAGAGAGCACCGTTTACGTGAAACGTGGCTATCTCCGTTTTGAATTCTGGGGACAAATGGCGTTGGTGTAAAGTAGAACACCCCGCACTTGTCATGAAAGGATAATAGATGAATCCTCTCCCTAATATAGTTCTGTTCGTTTGCGAGCGATTATTTGCAAAAAAAAAACAGACTTAAGAATTTGACCAGACTCAAAATGGGTACTTTCCAAAAAAGTTACTGGATGTAAAATGAAATAACTTCGTTATCATTTTTAACCACCATCCCAACACCACTTGTCACATTTGACTGTTATGTCTGGGAGCCGAGTTGGAAAAAATCTCTGAGCGCTGATCGAAATTTTGCAATGAGTGCCAGTAGAGCATAGGTTAAGGGACAGTCTTCGCTTCATATTATATATTTATTCGCATGCCGCGGATACACACATGCCGTTCACTAAGCACAGGTCAGGACTGAACACGGTATAATCGACGTGCCGCCCTTCTGAGTCGGCAGCAATCACCAGGGCGGAGGCGAGACCGACCCGCTCCCGCCCCGCGAAACTCGGCCACATCCGACGAGTCCTTGACTGGGCGTCCTGCTAAAGCTCTGATGATCATGACGTTGGGCCGGCGACCCAAGCGGCGACGGAAGCGATCTGCCGAGCACCCGCTCGCCCCGCCGTCTCCTTCCGCTAGTGATGATGATGCTAATAAATCTCTGAACGCGCTCTGATTGCGCCTGGACTCAAGCAAGAAGCCAATCAAAATAACGCCAGCAAACACGCACGCACGCGGGGCCACGGTCGAGACACCTGCTGACCAGTTCCACCACACTGGCTGCGCGCCCGCGTGCCTTCCACAGCACGCTGTCAAACGGTTCCTCCTCTGCGCGCGCAGTATGTGAGCAGTGTCGTCACCTCTGTAGCCGGTGCCCTGTGGCCGCCCTTACCGTTGGTACGTCCACGGCAGGGGCGGTCCACGGTGGGCAGACACAGCGCCACCGCGCAGCTGCCGCCACCTGCACTATTTTCGCTTCGGGGCCTGCTTCGGAGGAGTGGCGTTCGCCATTCCAGCGTACTGGTACAGCGTCTTCTTTTCAGACGGCTTCAGAATCTGGCGAGCAAAACAAGATACTATCAGTCAAAGGTGCTATTGACACAATTCTACAACCATAACTAGGCAGGTACAGATACATTGCGAGGTATCATTGTTTAACTATAGCAGTCTACTCCATTCTATTCTCCATAGTCTACTCCATTTTACAACCTCATGTAGTTCATTCAATGAAGTGATTCTGAATATACAGTTTTCATTTGCAAGTCATTAATCCTAGCACACTTTTCAACCAAAGCTGTGCCAGAATAACATGTACAGAGCTAAACCCTGTTCGACTGCGCACCTGGAAGGAGCACATGAGCGTCTCGTCGACGGACATCATGCCGCCGGCGTTGTCGAACTCGCCGCAGTAGTTGGGCGCCGAGAAGAGCGTCACCAACTGCCGCTTGGCGAAAAACTCGTACCCGTCCTCCACCACCTGAGGCCAGCGAGGGCGATAGGCAAGACGGTAACATCACGTAAAAACGTCCTGTGCAGATGATGCAAATAAAATAATGAAAATAAACAAGGTCGCAAACGGCACACACCTTACAAATATCTTCAAAAACA